CCTTCCGAAAACTATACTTCACAACTACTGCGAAAAGTATATACCTGGACCAACCACTTTTCCTTTCTTCTTAGCCCGTTCTTCACGTAACAAATTTCTCTCTTCTTCTTCACATGCCAGTTGCATTTCAGTATCGTACGTTACGACTTCTCTTTCAGGCAACTGCTCTCCTTTTTCTAGAAAAACTTATTATCCACAAATTTTCAGAGAATCTGCATTAACTTATTCTGACGATTTTAAGAGAATAGCAGACCTTCCAACTTCTTCGCTGTTTTCTGCAATTCATCTAACCCCACGGCCTCAGCTAGCCATGCCGAAGGTCGGGGTTGTCGTCCACTTGAACTGCGGCGGGCAAACATTTGGGTCATATTCACATCTTCGAGCATTGGATCAGGTTTCTCCACAACCGAAGAAGCGTACTGGAGAGTGGATGTACCAAACGCACCATTTTTTAAGAACTAGAAAATCAACGCACATTCTTTCCTTTCTTTACGATTTTAAGCCTAATATCAAGTGGAGCTTCATCATCGAGGGCATCAGATGGAGGTTCTGGTCTAAAGAAAATTCAAAACAGTAAGCTAACATCGCAAAGAGGCACTTACTGAAACTCAGAAAGAATTTCAAAATATCACTTACTCTACTGATGGGATGGAGAGGCCAATGTGAGTAGCATGTTGTTCAGCCTCAGTTCCAGCAATCGGAGGTATAGTAGAAGAATGTCTTTCTACTTCCACCGTAGAGGTTGCGCTAGTTCCCGCTGTAAACGTCGACAAGTGAAACCTCACCACTACGTAAAAGATTATCTCGAAAATGTGAATGTTTTCTTAATTATGATACATATTAGAATCTTTCCCAGACGTAAAACTTGAATGATGAAGAACGGATCTGAATTATTGGATTCTTGCTATTGCTATTATATATTTGTCGAAATTCCCCAACAATCATTTTTCGTAATCGATTTTGATCTTTGTTAATACGGTTGTTACAGCACATTCCTTGCTCCAAAAGTTTCGGTTATGATACCCTCAATTTGTTGTGCATTTAAGCTGAAATGAGTCAGCGAATTTCAAGTACCTTCAAAACATCGAGTTTTCCAAGAATCATCAACTTCTCGAAATTTACTTGAAAAACAATTGTAAACGAAAAATTGTGATGTCATCAAACGATATTCGTTGTTTGACCTTCATTCATTCTTTCGAAAATCGTCGATACCATTTAAGTACAGTTACAAAGCCTCCTCGAGTACGCGATTCAAAAAGGTTAAAATTTCCTCACAACTAAGAAATAGTGAAAAAATCTGGTAATTCTTCGGAAAAAGAGTGCAAAACAGAAGTTTAAACATTCCTCAACGAAAGCCTCCTATGATCCTGCAGGCCAATA